AACACTGCAAAACTAACTTTCCCAAAAATGTTCAGTTCCTGGGTCTACCACACATTGCTGGTTTTGTGGGTGTTTTTGGTTGTGGTTTGTTGTTTTTTGTTTTTCTCTCCTTAATGGTACCTGCCCATGAAACTGGGAACAAACCCCATACATGAAGTTCATGGGAAACATTTGGATTTCCTCACCACCTGAGCTTGACTGGCACCCTCCTGCCCTCCAGGAAGCACAGCCCCTTCACACTGAGTAATATGTGCTGCTTGGTCCCCAAAGCCAGCATCACCTTTTGGCTGGCTTTGTTCTCTTTTTGGCTGGTGCGTTTCCCAGAGGAAATAATGGACAACTGGCTTGAAGAATTTGTACAGAAGGAAATGGGTTCGCTGAATTCGACACGCACAACGTTCACTTGTGCTGGGAGGGAGTGATACAGGCCCTTGATTTGGAAAAAAATAAAAATTTAAAAAAAAAAAAGTGACATGGCATAGCAGAGAAATTCTTTCTTTGAGAATGAAGTTAAATTGAACAAGATAAAGCAATCTTATTTTTAAAGTGTTAGATAAATGACAAAGTAAAAAGTAGAGCAGTTAACTGGGCCCCAGGACATAATGTTGCTGAGCAAGCTGGGAAAACAGAGAGTAAGGAAAGAGTTTAAATGACTCATTAACCAGTTCGGTGTCATTCTGCTCTATTCCTCCAAAGGAGTCTGAAGTCGTCCCTGACACTGTACAAAGGACACCAAGTTTGGGACTCAGGAGATACAGAAGCTAATACTGGAAGGTTTGAAGATCCTCACTACCCAGTCTTGTGCTGCAAGTCTAAGATTTAAAGAGATGGAGGGAGGAATATTCACCACATTTGTGTCCCCAGTGGCTCTTTCCTCCAGCCAAACAAGCCATATGACACCAGTGAGCACGTAACACGTGTCAGACCCATTAAACAGCCACAGCTGCTTCTGGGCCACTGAGACCTATCACACAAACACAGTCAGGCAAGGTGGTCCCCATCTCCATCAGCTCCTGTAGTGCTCTGACAGGTGACACTGGCCAAGGGACTCTCCTCTCACACACTGAGAGCCAGGAGAGACTCCATGGAGATGGATAAAGTTACACCACAAACCTCTCATGGACAGCGGAACTTTACCACTGGGAAACTTTCTCCCAGGAAGGATCAAAAATCAGGGTCTGATGGAGGTTCTGTCTGCAAACAGCAAGACAATGTTGGCAAAAACCTGGCAGCAAGCACTGAAAAGCAAATAGCTGATGTAAACTGCCATTAATTTTACTGGCACTGTCATCAAAAATAAGAAAAAACTCACAGGAAACTTCCTTCCCCTTCACTCCCACAGAGGGTTTAGTTTACCTGCATTAGGTGAGGTGGAGAGGAAAAGAAATCTGTAAGAAAGTAGGTGGTGTGACTGATCCATTTGTCAAAGTCAAACCACACAGATCTTCCAAAACCAAAAAAAAAGATTAGTCATGTCATGACCTAGTGACTTCTGAAAATACAGAGAGCTCCTCATGCAGCCAAAGACAGCGTGCTGAAATTAAATGCTTTCTAAGTTTGTTTTTTAATGGAAAAATAGCATTCATTTCCCTTTTCTGCTTTAAAACATTCTGTGGTTTTCTGGTTTAGGTAATAAATCCATCCTCCAAATAAGGAAAAGTAAGAGATGGTTAATTATTTCTCTCTGCTTCTTTTGTGCAGTTTTAATTTTTACAACAGAGAGGGGGAAAATACCTGCTTTGGAGGCATAGCTGGCAGCCTTAGAAGGGAAGCTGTATGTTTAGAAGTCCAGATGAAGTCACAGAGTTTGATTCAGCCGTTGCCTGGTTCCAGTTTCACACTGAGGTGACTCTGTTGAAATCTCCTCATGTCAAACTATCACACTTCTTTGCTTACTCTGTGCTGTCAGAGCTGCAGAAGAAGCTTGGAAAGTTGGTCAGAGTACAACCCACTCACTCTAGGATCAATCTGGAGATATTACCTGACTCCAGCAGGGTTTCAGCCACAGTTTATGAACGAAAGACTTTAACTACGCCAGAGTCTAAAGTCTGTGCTTGCAACATGATGAATGTTCTGCTGAAAGTTGGAAACAGGAGTGGAAATGGCTGGGGAGAAGGTGAGTTTGGACCATGTAGGCGAGGCTACAGTTACATTTGATTTGGAAGCCTAAGAGAAACAAAAATGCCCTCACAAAAGAGACTGACCAACATCGGTGTAGGTATGTGGCACAGTTTGCCTGCATGGTAGTACGGTCCAAGGGCAGATGATCATCCTCAAGAGTTCCTGGAGAACACCAGAAATGTCATGAAAAAGTGTTAAAAGCACAGATTTGTGAAATCCTGTTATATAAACACACCAGTGATGTTAGATCATGCAAGCAGGTTCAGTACCTTTGATCCACCTTAATCAGCTCTGGAATAAAATACACCCTCCCATGCACTTGAACTAGGAACAGGCTGCCTGGAGAGAGAATCATCATCCTCTGTTTGCACAGCACCAAGCAATTTTTCGTATAAATAATAAATAAAACTCAGAGAGTAGAGGTACCAAGAAGTATCACCTTTCCTTCCTATTACCTGCTTGCAGAGAGGCCAATTCACAACAGATGAGGCTCAGTAAGTAAATGACAATAAAGCAAAAAAACCCTAGACAGCTTGATTCTGTTCTCAGTAAGCAAACACAACTAATCCCACCAAAACACACATGTATTTTCCACACAAGGTCATTAAATGTGCTTTTGGGAACCTCCATTGCATGCTGTAAGGGTGAATTCTTCTGAAGAAGACGGTTCAGCGTAAGAAAGTAACAAGAACAGTTCTTTAAAATAAGGAAGGTAAGATTTAAACAATACTTTTCAGGTAGGAATTACAAAATACTAAAGTCTTACAGATAGTATGTTAAGTCAGAGGTACATATTGCACCTGCAGAGAAAAATAACCACCCCTCTTGAGCAGTTTAAAATGTAGAGGCCCCTTGAATTCCACAGCCTTTGGCAAGGGAAATAGTTATCCAAGCTCAAGGATAAGCAGTGCCTTGAAGTTAAGCCTTGAGGACTCACAGGTACAAAAACTGCTCACTCATTTTCTTCAGGAAGGCAAGGAAGATCCCAGTGCTCCCTGATGTCACGGTTCCCTAAAGGTGCACACAGTGGTGTAACACCTGGGGACTCGTAGCACAAAAACTCCAGATAGCATTGTCACTATTTACAGGAAATCCACTATCATTCATTGCTCTGCAATCCTTTCTAAGGGAAATCCATGAAAACGAGTATTTCGTTAGCATCAAGCACCACTAGAGGAGAGGGACAACCTCCAGCTCTGCCCAGGCCAGTGAGGTCCCTGTTTCAAAGAGCAGCAGCTACATCTTGTGGAAAAGTTTAGGATTGCAGGCTTATCCCTGATAAAGCAACCAGACTTGGCAGTCAGGCTCATCAGAACAGAGAGGATCCAACACCAGGAAGGAAAGCACAGGTCTAACCTCTGTGGCTCTGTGGTAAACCTGTGCTGAGTGTAGCCTAACGTGAGCTTGAGAAAGGCTCCATCTGCGGCTGAGAGCACACTCAGCAGCAACAGCCCTTCTGAGCAAGATGCATCTATGAACCAGGCAAGTGAGGGAATAACCTCCCAAGTAATACTAGAAGTAAAAAGCTGTAGCTTGCAATGAGTCAATCCTGTTAACGTCTGTTAGGTAATAATATCTCATCTGAGATGTCTGCTATTGCCTAGGGCTGACTTCATCACAATCCGTGACCTGCAGCCTACAAGCTCTCAAGGCTTTCCTCTACAAGCAGGACCAGGGAGCTCTTGACTGGGGACTTAAAAAATCAATAGCTTTAGACAAATGACATGGGAAAAACCCCACAGAGAGTAGCAGGCAATCAGTTCTGCTATGCAGCCCTCTGCTTAGCTTGTCTGCAAAAACAAAATTGCTCCAGCTCCTCTTAAAACACAAACTGAACTTCCAAATTTTTTTTACATCAGTAAATACTTCATAGCATTTGTGACAGGATCAGTTTTACTAGAGAGTCTTGTGACTCTGAGGTGCTTTAAGTCTGACCAACCTGATCTCCTCTTATGATCAGGTGACCCACCTGCTGGATGAGGGAAAGGCTGTGGATGTGTCTATCTGGACTTCAGCAAAGCCTTTGACACTGTCTCCCATAATATACTCCTGGAAAAGCTGCAGCCCATGGCTTGGACAGGGGCACTCTGTGCTGGGTCAGGAACTGGCTCAAGGGCCGGGCCCAGAGAGTGCTGGTGAACGGGGCTGATTCAGCTGGCGGCTGGTCGCCAGTGGTGTCCCCCAGGGATCAGTGCTGGGCCCAGTCCTGTTTAACACCTTTATCGATGATTTAGATGAGGGGGGATTGAGTCCATCATCAGCAAATTTGCAGACAACACTAAGTTGGGAGGAGCACTGACCTGCTGGAAGGCAGCCTCAGGGGACACCTCATCACTCTCTACAACTACCTGAGAGGAGGTTGTAGCCAGATGGGGGTTGGTCTCTTCTCCCAGGCAACCAGCAGTAGGACAAGAGGGAATGGTCTAAAGGTCTGCCAGGGGAGGTTTAAGGTTGGATATTAGGAAGAAATTTTTTACACAGAGGGTAATTAGGCATTGGAATGGGCTGCCCAGAAAATTGGTGAATTCTCCGTCCCTGGAGGTATTTAAGACAAGATTGGATGTGGCACTCAGTGCCATGGTCTAGTAATGATGGTAGTTGTGGATCCAGGGTTGGATTTAATGATCTCAGAGGTCCTTTCCTGGCTGATTCTATGAAGTGAGAGCAGAAAGTATAAAATAGAAACATGGCCCATGGGGAGCCCTAATGGCAAAGCCAGATCAGGAGTACTGAAGGAACAGACTGAAAGTATGACAATTTGAAGTTTTTCCTTTGAGCTACATGTAAAAATGTTATGCAAGACATCATTACCTACTGGAAGAGGGAACGGAAGTTTACAGATATTTCCTACAAAAGATACAGCCAATAATACGAAAGACAAGTGTGAATCAAAAATTTTATTTTTTTTCCCCACATACATAAAAAAGTGAGTAAACACACAAGACAAACTAAACATATTTACAAGACAGTCGAGAAATCAATTTTTTTCTATCTTTGAGATCAAGTCATCACAGATTTTCGTTAGTTCATCATTTTCTTTAGTCTGTGGAAAAAAGAAAAGAGTGAGTTTCAGGTATGCCCAAACTATGCTACCACCCTGTAGTGAGTTGAGTTGCAAGGAGACAGCAAATGGAACAGAAAGTGCATTTACATGATAGCAACTCAAGTAAATTTAATGTAAAGGAAAGTCTATGTCAAAGGGCACATGGCATCCTTGAGAGCCTCAGGAAATGAGCCAGAATCCACTACACTGTTTCTACTTCTTCCAGACTTTCCCATAATACATGGAGAACAACTGATCCAGGGAAACGAGACTTTTCAAAGTCTTCATTAGGTACACAGAAATGCAAGACAGTGACAGTTTAGATTTTGATCTTCACAAGACACTTTAAAATGGTGCTTTTATACTTTTACTGACAAATGACAGTTTTCAGTTTGTAGAATTCCTTATATGGTCAAACCATTTTAAAAAGAATTCTTAACAAGAAGCATTACCGTATTTATGACACAGCCATAACCAGTTCTGTGTTAAATGGTTTGTCTCATCTCTACTTACAGCCCTACTGTTTCCTCAGCTATGCAAACCTTAACCATAAGCCTAAAGATTTAAAAAAATATGGGATTTTTCCATAATAGGAGTGTGTCAGCATTATCCATTTTTGAGTTTTCGGTGCTGGCAGAGACAACCACGAGGCAGTAAAACTGCATGCATTTCCAGCAGTGACTTAACCCTCAAAAAGCTCCTCCCTTTGAAGGGTTCCAACAAAGGAAATTGACGGCCCTTTACAAAACATTGTAAGACTTTATCTATGTAAAATGAAACAAAGTACAAGGATTGTTGGCCTGAACAATATTGAAGACTTGAGTCATATACAGTCATCCATATTAGTGCCAACAGCTTACAAGCCATGTTCATGAACAAACTGAACCAAAAAGTTTTAAAAGATTTATTCCCAAATTCTGTTGTTTCATGTTTACTTGTTAGATCACCACCTCCTTCGGTAGTTCAGGTAATCTGCTGACACAGTAGCCCAGAATCACCACCTGTACGATCCACCTATGGGGACAAACCTTGTGCTCCAAAAAAATCTAAAGATACAGACAAGTCCTGAGATAATACAGTTGTGTCATTATTTACAATGCTTACTTCCCCAACCCTGCTAGGACAGCAGCCACCAAAACCAGCACAGTTAGCATAATTACATCTAGCACTGCTACAAGGGAGTTGTGCCTAGTCCAAGGCAACAGCTTGAAGAGGCTCACCCATGGCATTCTGACTGACCTTTTGTTCAAGGCTCCTCTCCAGAGACTGGTTCCTCATCTGCTCTTTGCGCAGAATCGCCTGTAGTGCTGCAGCCTCTGAATCTGCTTTGTTTCGGATGTGGGCAATTTCCTCATTTGCTCTGAAATGGTTGCAAGGTGGTGTTAAAGTCCCCTTCAGTCAGCACAGCAAGTCACACTAGTTGCTTGTATTTTGGGTTAATCTCAAACATATTTAAGCCAAGTTCTGGTATTATTGAAACACATTCTGCAGAAACTGTGAGAACTACGTACTTCACTCTCAGTACTTGGCTTCTTGACACAGCACTTACCGCTGCAGCTTCTCCTCTGCATGTGCCTTTAGTGCCTGATATCGCTGCTCTTCTTTTTTAATCCTAGCCAAGTAGTCCTCAGCACACTTTTTCAAAAGTTCTTCATTCTGTCCCAAAAACCAAGAAGCTCAGTTAGCTTTTTATGTGCTAGCAGATGAAGAGCCTCTCCACCTGACAAACAGGCTATTTGAATACACCCAAGTGGCAGTATTTGCTCACCAGGGTAACAGGAACAGCCGTGAATTCCCACAGATCTACACAGACTAAAATGGTTCCTTTCAACTACTTGAGCTTTGCAAACTAAGATTTATTCACCCTATGTCCCTCCCAATACACTGTTCAGTAGCAAACTGTAGTAAAGGCAACGGTCACTAAAATTACAGTCAGTGGTTGTTTTGTTGTTTTCCTTTTTTTTTTTTTTTTTAAACATCTTTGTCTTACACTGCAATTATCCTAAGAACAGCTAGAAATCCAACTTCTTCAGAGAATTCATGGAAAGATTCAGGCTGTGGACCCCAGTGTAAATTAATACAACATTAACAGCAAGAAAGTTACATTGCTAGGCACACTATGAAGATATTTTGTTAGCTATCATAGGAAGTTGGAACTGTTTGCAATAAGTGCTAAGACTCCCGTCTAATTGCAGCTCTTGAATTTAGCAACTCTGTTTCCAGGTACGTTTCTTTTGTAAGGAAAGGGCTTCTGAATTTAGGGTAGAAATGGAAGGGACACAAGATGAAGGAAGCCTAGGAAGAAACTAAAGTTTTAACAGAGACATCCTGCCTGTTTCTCAAACCTAGACTATCATGAAACTTGCAATAGGCTAGTTTTAAGCTTGAGTTTAAGGATAACAGAGTGAAAAAAATCTGAAGGCATTTTTTTTTAAAAGCCAACTGAATCAGTTTTTATGCTTTTCATGCAGTAAGAAGCCATAGTTTATGTTCCCCATTAGCTTCCTTCCTCCACCCTCTGAAGAAGCTGCAGAATGAAGGCCTAATTTTAGCTTTAACAAAAACCACAACTTAGCAAAGAGCATCCAATAAACTATTATCATTTTAACTTGTAATAGCAAACCTTCTTCAGGATCCATTCAATATGATGTAAGGGAAACAAGCCCCTCTTGTGCAGCAGTTGCTACATGAGAGCATCTCTACAATAAACAAAAACGATCCCTGTGCAGCAAGAAACACCTCACTTCTGTTTGAAGAAACTTTGACTTCTAACAGATGTTATTATACTTTAAGTCAGTCACTAAATACAACAAGCTAGTGATTTTTTATCATATTTAAAGTAACAACTTAGCACCTGGTTTTCCAGGTAGTGCCT